GACGGTGGCTGAAGGTTGAAGAAGAAGAAGGTGGGGGTGGGGCTGGGAGAGAGGGAGGACAGTTTTTGGTTTTTTTTTTCCTATTTTGTTGTTTATTTATTTTATTTTAATATATTTATAAAAGAGAAAAAATTGAAAGTACCATTTTACCCCTCTTAGTTTAGTCAAAATTGAATGAAATTTGACTTTTTGGGTTGACTAACGGTCAACTGGATGGAATCCGTCCATTTGGACCTCCGGCGCATATTTTTTAAAGGTTTGGGGCCTCCTCTGGCACAAATCAAAGGTTAGGGTAAAACGCGCAAAAATTTGAAAGGTTTGGGACCGCAACTGCAATTATCCCTTAATATTATTTGTACATTTATATAGTTGACATTTAAATTATTTTGCAATTTCAATTTATCTGAACTAACTTTTACTAATTTGCTTTACTATATAAAATTATTTTTTGAAAAAACTATAATGTAAAGCATTAAAGCAACAAACTATTTTTTTATGATGAAGCCAAGAGGTGTTTGCCGACCGAAACCTTAATCAAACACCTATATAAATGAACCTTCAAAACTTCTCCTTTTGTGTTAACTATCAATACCTTCAGATATTGTTTAATGTCTCATTTTCTCTTTCTAATTCTATACATCTTTGGATTCATCCATAGACATGATTAGCATTGCTACTTGTGAAAGATTTAATTCCTTACCATTTCATTTGCCAAATTATCCCTATAATTTCCTCAAAATTAAGCAACAAACTGAGAATTTTCCAGCTTTTTCTCAAGTTATACAATTTAGTGAAACATAATTCTGAACTCAAAAAACTAATCTATTGAGACTTCTTCCTTGACTCACTCCTGAATTGAAAATCTTATCTGGGTTCTGCTTATATATTTCTTGCCTTTGTCTCCTCTGACATTTTTCCAAGATTCTGTAAGGGTAAGTCTTGTTTTCAAGATTCTTCTTTTTATGCTGTGTGGAAAAAGCAGTAATCTGATTCCCAGTAAATGATTCTGATTTCAATGCTCTTCGGATCATTGTAAAATTCCATCTTCTTTCTGGATACTCCATATATCTTAGGTCCCATCACTTTCAATGCTTGTGATAGGAATCCTACGTTATTGAACTGCAAAATTATAGCTATATTGAGGGTTTAATCTCTAAGAGGAGTGCAAAGGTTTCCTCGGGCTCAAAATCTGCCCTGGTTTAGGAATTTTTACACATGGAAACTTTGTTTCCAGCTTCATTCATATCGAATTCGAGTTTGTTGATGCAAAGGAAAAACACAATATGGACAAAAGAAGAAAACAAGCAATTTGAGAGTGCACTTGCAGTGTTTGATGAAAGTACTCCCAATAGATGGGTTATGGTGGCCGCCATGATCCCTGGAAAATCAGTGTATGATGTGATAAACCAGTACAAAGAATTGGTGGCAGATGTAAATAATATAGAAGCTGGTTTGGTCCCAATTCCGGGATACTTGAACTCTTCTTTTACATTGAAAATACCCGATAATCGCAGTTTTGATATGTATAGGAAGAGAGGCAGGTCTTGCAATCAAGAAAGAAAGAAAGGTGTACCATGGACAGAGGAGGAGCACAGGTGAAGTTTTCTTAGAATTATGTTTTCTCTCTTTAACTAGATTTTTATATTCGACTGTTATTATGTTTTCAGAGACATAAAAGATAGATCCAACGATGTTGCTATCTTTTTTTTCTGCAGCTTAGCTTTGTAGTAATAACTGTACAGGATTGAACAAAACTGAGGCTGATTAGTTATATGCACTAGAAGTGTACTATGGCACGAGGAACTCACCATGTAGCTATCAATTTTTAGTTTGTCCTCTATGTGATGATCTCTTCTTTAACGTTATGCAGTATCACCATCATTGAAACGTATAAGATAATTAGACATTTTTTTTGGAATATAAACTCCACTGCCCATCCCAATAGTAATTTTTATTCAAAACATTCCACGTAGAATAAGCTATCAAAACACCTAGTGCATGTTTGGTACACAATAATGGGTAGGTCCAGACACTATTAAATACGATTTTAGCTTATTTTTCTTCCTTGACATTGTTGAGTAATATATAAACCTCCCCGACAAACATGCTAATAATGTCTTAGTTTCAAAAAGAAAATGGCTGCAGCTATGTCGATTTTGTTCTCATTTATCGTCTCCAGAGTGCTTGCAGATGAAACTTCCAAAGATATTATGTTCTTATAGTTTGTTTCAGTTTTTCTGATAACTTTCATGGTTGAAAATAGACGTTTCTTGTTGGGACTTCAAGAACATGGCAAAGGGGATTGGAGGAACATTTCACGAAATTTTGTTATTTCTAAAACACCTACTCAAGTTGCAAGCCATGCTCAAAAGTACTATCTAAGGCAGCTTTCAGGAGGGAAAGATAAGAGGAGGCCGAGCATCCACGATATAACATCAGTCCACTTCACAAACAATTGCTCCCCGGATAATAAAAAATCTCCATCATCAGATAACTCTTCTTCAGTTACGTTGGTACAGAAGTCCATTGGCACTCCAAAAATACTACTCAACTGGAATGACAAAAATAATGAAGCTTCAATCGTTTTTGACTCGGCTTGCCATGATCCATTCACTACATTTTCATATGATATTGGCTCTCATGCTACCTGCATAGTTAACACCGGAGCTGCCAATCAAGGTTTCCAGTTCCCGTTCCAATCCAAAAGATCTCTTGAGTGAGAAAGAAACATCCGGTCCGGTCAGCATATCAAGATGCCAAATATGGATTTTGTTAAATGTAAAAAGTGATTACATCCTGGTGTTGTTTACTGCTGTGGCAACCTTATGTATACTATATGCTAGATGAAGTAAGATATAATTTTGCATGTTCAGATGAAATTTGTGAAGTTAAGCAATATTATTGAAGTGTTAAATTCCTGCTTCATTCATTTTGTTCATTTCAGAGATTTCACCGTTAATAATCTAGATTCATACTTATAGTGTCAGGGTTCCCACTATTAATTTTACATCAAAGGCAGTCTAAATACACTATGATATTGGATTATATGGCCAAATAAGCTGATTTAGCGTTAAAATACCGTGTATATCTAATATTTATCTTTCTTTGAGGACCTTTTCTATTCTTAGATTATGTATTCTATTAGGCCAAGTTGACAGAATTTGATAATCTTCCTTTTTCTTGGTTGAGTGTGTTTTCCACTAAAGTGAGGCATTTTCTACTTTAATACATTGTAAACACTTAATGATCCACGTAATATTTGTACTATGGTGCGCGTATTTTTTTCTGTTCCCTTTTCTTGATTAGAGTCTTCCATTTTTATTTTTATTTCCCAGGAAGTATCTGCGTGATTGGTCAATTAAGGCATACAGAATAGCTTCTTGCACGAGTCTTAAGAGAAAGTAATTTTTGAGATTCTGAATTCACTTTCTGTATACCGAATCAAGAAAGGCTGGAAATGAATTTAAACTGTTTAGATCTAGTATTCTCATTGTAATGTTATCCACTGAATGGCATCTATCTTTCGGCACCTGTAGAAAAAAGAAATTAAATTCTATTTAAATTTTTTTCTATAGAGCCTTCTTTCTATGGTCAAAGTGGAAAAGAACCTACATATGTTCTTTGTTTCAAAGGCTTTCTCTTGCCCTACAAAATAAAAAGTCAATTGTAGCCTTATTAAACGCCCCCTTCCCCTTTCGTGCAAATGGCGGAAAATAGGGGGAGGTAGTAGAAAGGGGAAATGGAGTAGCCGGGAGAGGAAATGGTGGTGGGGGCAGTGCTAGCAGCTGGGTAATAAAATTGGGGTGGGTGGGGATTGGAAGGCAGGGGTAAGAATAAATTTTCGATACAAAAATAAAAACCAAAAACAAAATATAGGCTTGTTTGCATGATTCTAGATAAGGTCATTTTTCATTTTCTCTCTCGAACTAGGTCCTTCCACAAGAATCTCAATTATTCAATATCCTCTGAACCTGAGACCTATTATCTTGATTAATATGTAAATAGGGCTGTCTGTCATAATTGTCCCATGCACAGCTGATTTTAAATTTGAGCACAGGATTTGTAAGAAAACGATGGGAGAAAAGGTGTGCTTAAATCTTGAAGTTTACTATATAACTAGCACATTTCACCTCCTTTTTGCTGCATGGCACAAATCATATAAGATCTGATAGCAAATGGATTGGGATGTTGTTTCCTATTGATGAGTACATCCTATGATGGATTTCAAAATGAAAAAGAATATACAAATTTACCTTGTAGTTTGATTCATTAAATGTGTAGACAGAAAAAAAAAAGTAGGCAAGAAATATCAGAAAGGTCTGTATAGAAGGCTAAAATTGAGCTGATTCCTGTAAATGTGTGCTGAAGCATATTTAGACTGACCCTCGAAAATTAGCTCGGCTCAGCACGGATTGTGTAAGGCTTGCAGGATTTAACCCTTTTTTTTTTTTTTAGATACAGATCTGCACAATCCGTGGGTCCCTACATGCAGGCCAAGCATATGTAGGGAGGGCTCTAGGGACCAGCCAGGTGTTCACGGTTGAGCTGTGCCTAGGCAGGGATTTTTCCAGGCCAGAGCGGGCAATTCACATTTTGACACCTCTAAGCATATTCATCAAATATTGGCAGCCATGAAACAAATGATCGAGTCAATTAAGCATATTGGGGGCACAAAGCATGGGCGGCATAGCATAAATGAATTGATTTCATGGAAAAATAGCAAGAGGCGTATTAGCAAAAGTTGTGACTTTCTTTACTAATTATCCATGTGATTCATGAGGGCTTATTGGTAGTAAATGGATCACTATCGTACTATTTGGCAATCCACAATGAAAACATAACTGAAAAATTCATGCTTCCCCATTTGCTACTGCTCTTAGTTGCTATAATGGTTGTTTCTGTTATCCTACTTCTGCTGCACTATCATGAAAAGGAGCATTGACATCCAGCATCAATTTTGTGAAGTTAGATTGTACAATAGTTGAAATTAATTTTACGGCATTGTCTAATACTACGAATCGAAAATGCTGACAAATAAAAGTTCCAATGCAACATGAGGTGTGTGTGATAATTTTCATTGATTTTATTTATTTGAGTGTCTAGCATTTATAAAAGATCTAACATCTTTACAATTTGCATTAGAAAGCAATCTGTCTCTTTTCCTATTGTTCATGAAAGCTTTTTGGAGATAGATGGACATAAAGTAGCAAACTTTCATCTTCTTGTTTTTTCCTTTGTTTTTCTTTTTCCTTGAGATCAAGTAAAAGGAAAGATTTTATAGCTAGTTCTACCTTTTTCTTTTTCACTTATTTTATCTTTCCATGGGGTAGAGAAATTGGAAAATGGCTTCGAAATGTTGGACCTTAAACCTTTTAAAAATAATTAGAAATTCTAAACACAAAAAGACAAAAGAAGAGTACGGTCCTATTCGAATTCAGGCTTGGCCCACATGTCTGCTGCTAGGAATTCAACATCTCTGATATGCTCTGCATTTTATTCACCCCTCTTGATTCATGACATAAAGGAGAGCTCTTTCTAGGTGGGGCTCTTCGAGCAAGACATTTCTTGGGACCAATGGGGGCAGTCTCGTATATAAGAAATAGACGGCTTTTCGATTTGGTTTAGAACCAATCTTTCGTATCTGCTCTTTACAGTTTTTTGCTTCTTCTTCCCTCTTGACTTGCACTGTCTATTTTAGTTTTTAGGGGCATTTTTCTCCCCTTCAACTTGATGTTTAGTATAAATTGGCTAATCGAGATATCTATTGAGATTCAGACTTCAATTGGTTATAAAAGGCCAATTACTCTCTCTCTTTCGATGGGAAAAGTTAAGTAGTTTCAATACCAAAATAGGATTACCTTCGTGATTAAAAAGAATATGTGACAAAAGATTATATATCTTTTGATGATAATTGATCGTTTGAAATCCCACAAATGTCTAGTGTCATGAAAAAGAAATGAGTAGTGCATCGTTCCCACGGAGACTACATACTCAATTAATTTTTTCATAACTTTTTCTTCCAATATCCGATTGAAGTGATTCAAAGTGCTTTGGAAAGCTAACTCAAAGGGATACAGTTCTTCTATAATGCCATTTTTCCAATTCGAACGTTTTCTATACGAAAAATGTCTCAACCTAAGGCTAAGAACATGGAGCATAACTTGCATGGTTGGAAATTGATTTGTGAAATACTTTGATACTCCTTTAACTTCTAATTGCATCTCATAGATCCTATGTGATCTTAAGTCATCATTTTGAGGTTTGAATTAACTATTGAATATTTATAATTTGGTATCTGAACTTTGAATTTATTCACTTTTTCACCCGTTTTCACTCCTTTCGATCAAATTTCATCAAAAATTGCATATTACCTACAACAATAGATATTTAAACGAATTAATAGTATTTTATTCAATTATGTTCCCAAATATTCGCTTTTGATGGCCAAAATAGGTGTAGAAATTACACCATTCAATAACAAAGCTGATCCACCACGTCCTTAACACATTACAATTGTCCAAATGCCCAACTTCCAAAGGATTACTACACAGCAAGAACAAACTTGGAATTTCACCACCACAACTCACAAATATAGCAGGACTTCAGGAAAATAATGTCTAGCGAGTAATAGAGATAAAGTTACCAAACTCTAATCATTGGCTTAGCATGTATATGTCTTTCTTAAATCCTAATTTCATTAGGATTAGTACATGCCTAACCTAATTGGGCCCAATTACTAATTAGAGGAAATTACATAATTCCAGGGTTTGAAGATTGTAATTCAAAAATCAGGGACCAAGTTTCTTTATTCAAAAATCAGGTAATATATAAAACCTCTAACCCTAATTTTCGCTCTCTCTCTCTCTCTCTCTCCCCTCCTCTCCTCCCCCCTCCCTTCTCCCAATCGGTGATGCGATGTTAATATCTGTATCGTGCTCGTGAGAGATCTACAACATCTTCGAGCAACGACAATTTATGTTAAAATTAGGATTTAAATCTGGGTGGAGAGATCTGTGTGGCTGTATAGTGCGATTTACAATACCTTTATGTCCGTGTGTTGGGTTTTGATGAAGATGGTGACGCCGGTGCGATAGTTGTGGCAGCGTGGTATGATCTGTCTGTCTGTGTGCGATCTGTACATCTGTGTGTGGGCTGTATGTTAGATTGTTGGTACAAGTAGTGCTGGTAGTGTAGTGGTGGAGTTGTTGGACTGTTTGTTACAGGCAATGGCGGTGTGATGGTGGTGGTAGCGACGATGAATCTATGGTTTGAGCTTGTCTGTGGCGGTGGCGGTGGCGATGGCGGTGGCGGTGAGGAGGCCTGTGCTTTGGTGGTGAATGGTGGTGATATGGCGTTGGTGGTGGTTTTCCATGAAAAGGAGGCGAATGGATTGGTGGAGCTTTGTGCTTGGCGGTGAACGGTGATGATAAAGTGTTGGAGGCGACTGTCTGTAAGGAGGAGGGGTTGCATAGCTAGGTAGTGATCAATCAGTGGCAAGAGGTGGTGGCAAATTTGTGGTGGGTGGTGTGATGTGGTGTGGCGAAGGTGGTTGTCAGTGACTTTGTTAGTGCTGTTGCGGCGTGGTAAGGGTGGTTGAAAGTGGCCATAGTGGTAGTGGGGGTAATCTGTGACCAAATGTTGGTAATTTGTAACCAAATGTTTGGTAGTTTGTGACCAATTACTCAACCGTGACCTAAAAATTTAATAATATGTGACTAAA